CGATCTCAGGTGATCCACCCACCTCAGCCTCCCAAAGTGCTGGGATTACAGGTGTGAGCCACTGTGCCAAGCTAGTGATATATTTTTTACAACACAGAATGGTTTAAATGCCTAAAAATATTCCCAGTGGATTCTCTTCCACACCCCCTCATCTCTTTCTCCTGTATTCTGACTTGGGGTTCTCAAACTCAGTATAGCTAGGAACTACTGCATACCTAGAATCGTATAGAGTCTACCTTTTTTATAAGACAGTCTTGTTTCGTTGCCCTGGCTGCAGTGCAGCAGTGCAATCTCAGCTCACTGCAGCCTCCGCCTCCCGGATTCAAATGATTCTCCTGCCTCAGCCTCCCAAGTAGCAGGGATTACAGGTGCTGGCCACCACGCCCAGCTCTTTTTGTATTTTAGTAGAGACAAGGGTTTTGCCATGTTGGTCAGGCTGGTCTCAAACTCCTCAACTTAGGTGATCCACCCACCCCAAAGTGCTGAGATTATAGGCGTGAGCCACCATGCCTGGCCTTAATTTATATTTTTAGAGATGGGGTTTTGCTCTGTAACTCAGGCTGGAGTGCAGTGGCGTGATCATGGCTCACTGCAGCCTTGAACTTCCTGACTCAAGTGATTCTCCCACCTCAGCCTACCAAGTAGCTGGGACAACAGGCAAGAGCCACCATCCCCAGCTTCCTTATGAATGATTGAGGGAGTTTTCAATGATAGTGATTTTCTTTTTGAGATGGCGTCTTGCTCTGTCGCCCAGGCTGGAGTACAATGGTGCAATCTTGGCTCACTGCAACCTTTGCCTCCCGAGTTCAAGCGATTCTCTTGTCTCTGCCTCCCGAGTAGCCACCACACCCAGCTTATTTTTGTATTTTTAATAGAGACGTGGTTTCACCATGTTGGCCAGGCTAATCTCAAACCCCTGACCTTGTGATCGGCCCACTTTGGCCTCCCGAAGTGCTGGGATTACAGGTGTGAGCCACTGCACCCGGCCAATGATAGTGATTTTTGCCCAGTCTGCTGATTTTTGCCCAGTCTGCTGACTTTAGGTTTAAGATGGGAGTCTTCTGAACATCACTGCATTTGCCTGTGGGAAGCTGGCACCATGATGCCCATTTTCCAGATAAGGAAGCTGAGGCCTAGAGAAAGAGTGACTTGCCCAAGGGCAGGCACACAGCAAGGACAGACAGACTGAGATTCAAACCCAGCTGTGGGTCTCTTGCACTCTAATCTTCTTTCCATTTCATCACATGCAAGAAAAAGAATGCTTTCAGGGTGGGGGCTGTTTTGAAGATGAGGATCAAAAGATAGCAGCTGAGGGCTCCATCTTTGGCTTCCTGACAGTCTGGCTCCTGAATATGCAGGAGCAGCTTGATCAAGGTGCTCTGCCAGCTGCGGTCCTGCCTTTGGGGGAGGAGCAGCCGCACCAGATGGACTCTTGGCAGTGAGGGCAGGATCATGATCTGTCAGCTGCTGAGAAATGTCAGTTGGCTGCCCCAATGCATGGGCACAGAGCGTGATACGATGTGTGATGGCTCATGAAACGGTGCATTTATGGTGGACAGATGGACGCATGGGACATGGTCAGTGAATTGAGCAGGACACACACACACACACACACACACACACAGATATTTGGGTGAGGTACAGGAGGGGTGGACAACTTCAGAAGAGCTTCAACACATCCCTTGGTGGGACCAAAGGGATAGTTTTTTCCCATATCAGAGACGGGGCCACAATCACAGCACTGAGGGGAGAATCCTTGCTTTGACCCCAACGGGCCAGAATAGCAAGATTCCTTTCAACAAGGAAGAGAGCAACCTTACGCTCCCTTCCCTGGGATCTTGCAGCCCTGCCGGCCGGCTGGGCTGCTGAGTGGATCATTCTGCCCACTGTGAGCCTCCGTATGCAGGGCTGGGAGATGGGCAGCATCTGACAGCTCAACCCAACCTCAGCGATCGTGCTGGGCTTATTTTCCTCCACAGTCCGTCTGGGCTACAGTTTCCTCATCTAGAAGGGAAAAACTGAGGCACAGACAGGCTAAAGGACTTGCACGTCTAGAGGAATCAAACAGACCTGCAGGGACCTTTTCCTCAAACAGGAAGGTCAATCTAATACTTGCTGGAGTTCTCAGCCTTGTCTATGAGGAGATGCGCACACAGGACAGACAGAGCAAGTTAAAAGACCAGAAAGGAAAGAAGTAGAGGACCTGGTCGGGTAGGGGGTGGGTTCAGCGCTCAGGCTGAGAACCTGAGCATCCCATGCTCCTTCCAACGTGCCAACTATCTGATGACAAGAAAAGACAATACACCAAGTCCTCATAGGGTGAGAGACCTTCTCAGGCAAAAGAGGCCAGAATCCTGTAGCCAGGGGAAGATTCCAAAGCTTTTCTTGGGGGGAAAAGGCAGTAGCTCGAGTAATAGCGCCTATTCTGGCTTTCTAGCAATTTGGCTCTTAGACGTGCAGGAATGGCTTGATCAAGGCACCTGAACAGCTGTACTGGGCCTGCAGCCCTGCCCTGGGGGAGGAACAGCAGCATCAGATGGACTCTTGACAGTGGGGTGGGGAGGATGTGGTAGGGGTGAGGTCTCAGGGTCTCCTTTCCCATACCTCTGACTGTTATATAAAGATGCTCCCTGTTGGACTCATGGCCGTCGGCTGTTCCAAAGCTCTGGGAGAGTCCCAGACACTTGCCAGAATCCCACTGGCAAAATCTCACACCTCCCAGTTCCTGCACAATCTACAAGCCTGCCAGGGCTGACAGGATGGCCTGAAATCCCTATCCGGATCGTTTTCTTGTGTAAGAATTAACAACAACAACATTCAAAATGGATTTTCAAGGGTGCAGGGTGGCTTCATGCCTGGACTGATTTCGCAAGCACAATGTAAAAGCTTGACTCTGCAAACAGGCTGCCAAACTGCTGTGAGCCGTAGGCCAAATTTGAATGCCCTGGTATAACTTGATTTTTTTTTTTTTTTTAGATAGAGTCTCACTCTGTCACCCAGGCTGGAGTGCAGTGGTGCGATCTTGGCTCACTGCAACCTCTGTCTCCCAGGTTCAAGTGATTCTCCTGCCTCAGCTTCCTGAATATCTGGGATTACAGGTGCACACCACCACATCCAGCGAATTTTTGTATTTTTAGTAGAGATGGGGTTTTACCATGTCGGTCAGGCTGGTCTCGAACTTGACCTCACGATCCACCTGCCTCGGCCTCCCAAAGTGCTAGGATTACAAGCATGAGCAACTGCGTCCAGCCAACTTGATATTTAAAAAGAAAACTCAGAAATAAAAATGAAAAAAGAAACTTTCCATGGCAGATTCTTTTGTAACACAAAGAATCATTCCACTTTTTTTTTTTTTTTTGAGATGGAGTCTTGCTCTGTCACCAGGCTGGAGTGCAGTGGCGCATTCTCGACTCACTGCAACCTCCACCTCCTGGGTTCAAGTGATTCTCCTGCATCAGCCTCCTGAGTAGCTAGAATTACAGATGCCCCCCACAATGGTCAGCCAGTTTTTGTATTTTTAGCAGAGACAAGGTTTAACTATGTTGGCCAAACTGCTCTTGTACCTCAGGCCTCCCTAAGTGCTGGGGTTACAGGTGTGAGTCACTGCACCCAGCTCATTATGCTAATTGACCTCTGGTAGAAAAGAAGTTTTGGTTTGTTTTTGCAGATTAACTTTGTTTAGAAGAAGAGGCTAATTGCAACTCCAGAGAACCTAGAAACAGTATGTTGTAAACAATGGCCCACAATGGTAGAAGCTCAACATTGAAAGGCTCGCTCCTGAGCCCTTTGAAGGTCATCCCCCTCCCTAAATTGTGATGGTCACCTCGGGGGAAGGAGGTGGGACTGTCACCTTCTCAACATTTGCCTAGGCTTGAGCGCAGTGGTGCGATCTTGGCTCACTGCAACCTCTACTTCCCAGGTTCAAGTGACTCCTCTGCCTCAGTCTCCTGAGTAGCTAGGATTACAGGCACCCACTATCACATCTGACTAATTTTTGTATTTTTAGTAGAGACAGGGTTTCACCATGTTACAAGCTGGTCTTGAGCTCCTGACCTCAGGAGATCCACCTGCCCCGGCCTCTCAAAGTGCTGGAATTACAGGTGTGAGCCACTATGCCCGGCCCTCTTCGGCATTAAAGTATGTCAGCTACAACAGAGGTCTGAGAGGAAAATGCCATTGGTGAGCTGATAGACTTGGGCTTGGTGCCAGTTATGCTGTGCCACACTCAGGTGGTACCTGGGAGGAGTCACAGGATAAAACCCACCTCCTGGGCACAGGTGGCCAAGGTGAGCATTGTGTGTGGACAGGTGGATATGACTGATACAGTCACCCCACTGCCCACCCTGGATCCCTGAGCTGCCTGTCACCTCTTGGAGCCCTAGGAATCTTGGAAGCTGCTGGGCAGACCCTGCCCCAGAGGAAAGGGGTGGGGGTACCTGCCTAAGCATGTCCTCCTGTGTCCTGGGCTCTGCCTGTGTCTGAATACCACTCATCAGAATGCAGGGAGGGGCCAAGTCCCTGATGCCAAAACAATGACAGAGGGTGACCGTCTAGGGGAGGCTCACATCACTCAAGGACATAGGCCAGGGTCATTAGCACTGTGGGAAGTGAGAGAGGAAGAGAGAAAGAGGAAAATAGAAACAGAGGGGTAAGAGGAGAAAGAAAGCAGAGGGAAAAAGGAGAGAGACATACAGAAAGAGACAGAGACAGGGAAGAAGAGAGAGGGAGAGGAGAAAGGGGGAAGAGAAAGAGGGAGAAGGAAAAGCAGGGGAGAGCAGAGGGAAGGGGGTGGGAGGCAGAGGGGTGGAGAAACCCTTAGGGTATTTCCGTAGGAGAAGGATTCACTTGAGGCTGAGGGTGGTAAGATATTTTCAGGATTCAAATTGTCTTGGAGTCTAGCCCGATGTCTTCTTGACACTTTGAAGGACCTGCTCAAATAGGTGATGGAGGGAGAGAAAAAGAGAAAAGCATATCTTATTTTATATATATATATATATATATATATATATATATATATATATATTATTTTTTTTTTTTGAGATGGAGTCTTGCTCTGTCGCCCAGGCTGGAGTACAGGGGCACAATCTTGGGTCACTGCAGTCTCTGTCTCCCAGGTCTAAGCTATTCTCCTGCCCCGCCTCCCAAGTAGCTGGGATTACAGGCATGTGCCACTATACCTGGATCATTTTTGTATTTTTGTCATGTTGGCCAGGCTGGTCTTGAACTCCTAACCTCAGGTGATCCGCCTGCACTTGGCCTCCCAAAGTGCTAGGATTACAGGTGTGAATCACTGTGCCCAGTCTATTATAATACATTCTTATGCACACTGTGATTAGCTAAGACAATCATTTTTTGGGGGTGAAGAACAGTGCTAATTTGATACGGAACAAATTGTGTCTCATTTTTATTGGACATTTCTCGGAGTTCCAATGAGGTTGATCTACCATCCAGTTTTACTAGTTGCCAGCATTCTGTGAGATTTCTGTTTACGTCCTCTGCCCCTTTATCGGCTGAGGAATAGTGTTTCTTATTGATTTGTAACTGCTTTTTATATTTTAAGGACATGGGCTCCTTGCGTTATTTGTTGCAATCTTTGTTCCCTAATGTGATGTGCACTGTATTTGTTTTATTTGTTTATTTACTTGTAAAGACACAGAACAGCTTGCTGAACCTGATTCTTTGGTGCTCATCACTATTCAAATTATTCAGTAACCATATGAAGCAATAATATCCTGAATAGCTAATTCATTGATTTTTAATTAAAAAAATTTTTATTGTTTTGAGGCAGGTTCTTCCTGTGTTCCCCAGACTGGAGGGCAATGGCTCAATTTTGGCTCACTGCAGTCTCGAACTCCTGAGCTCAAGGGATTCTCACACCTCAGCCTCCTGTGTGGCTGCTACTACAGGCATGCCACCATGATGCCTGGCTAATTTTTGTGTATGTGTTTGTGTGTGTATATACATACGTGTGTGTGTGTGTATGTGTGTGTACATATATATATATATATTTTTTTTTTTTTGTGGAGATGGGGTCTCCCTAGGTTACCCAGGCTAGTCTTGACCTCCTGGGCTTAAAGCAATCTGCCTGTCTCAGCCTCCCAAAGTGCTGGGCTTACAGGTGTGAGCCACTGTGCCCAGCCAGCATCTTGTTTTTTAAAGCAATCTCTTCCATTGCTGTAGTTGTCAGATACTGAAGAACTCTGAGGAGAGGGAAGGAGGTGGGGAGGGAGAGCAGGAGAGAGAAAAAGAAAAGAAGAGCAAATGAACAAAAAGGGAAGAGGGAGAAAGAGGAGGGAGGAGTGAAAGAGAAAGAGAAAGAAGCACAACCAGCCTCCCGACCTCCGTGACACGTCTCCTCCAGCTCTGGGGCTCCCGACCTCCGTGACATGTCTCCAGCTCTGAGGCTCCCGACCTCCGTGACATGTCTCCAGCTCTGAGGCTCCTGACCTCTGTGACATGTCTCCAGCTCTGAGGCATGCATCCAGAAACTCTGGAGATACCTTGTTCTAACTGTGTTCTAAACGTCACCTCACTGTGTTTCCAGAGAAGAATCTAAGTGTGGCCTATTTTATAGGTCTTCAGCTGGAAATGGGCCACCATTCTGGCCCTCCTGACAACCAAGTCCTCACTGTTCGGTCACGGAGACCATTCAAAGGTCCCTCCAGATGGGCTGAGGAGGAAGCCTGGAGACAGAGGCACGGGAGGAAGCCCCTGATTTCTCAGTGAAAGGGTCAAGATCCTTCCAAACCCTTTCAGGAAGTAATCCACCATGATGGGCACAGCTGGGCTCCCCAAGGTTGTTTCTCTCTTAAGAGACTCATTAGATGTTTTTCATCCTGCCCCAAATGTCTACAGCTTCAGGAAGGTACTGCTACGTCTGCTATCAGGGTCCTAAGGGCTTACGGCCAGCTGTTGGGTGCCATCTTGAAACAGTCACCCAGAACCTGGGGGCCATTTTGAAATGGCTGCCCTAGAAGTTGGGCGCCATCTTGGAATGGTTACCCAGAACGAGGGTGCCACCTTGAAATGGCTGCCCAGAACTTGGGGGTCATCTTGGAATAACCACCCAAAACTTGGGGACCATCTTGGAATGGCTACCCAGAACTTGAAGACCACCTTGGAACTCAGGGATCACGTAAGCATGGCCATCCAGAATTCAGAAGCCATCTTAGCATGGCAGCCCAGAACTCAGAGACCATCTTGCAATGGCTTCCTAGAACTTGGGGGCCATTTTGGAATGGCTACCCAGAACTTGAAGGCCACGGTGGAACTCAGGGACCATGAAAGCATGGCCATCCAGAATTCAGAAGCCATCTTGGCATGAGAGCCCAGAACTCAGGGGCCATCTTGGAACAGTGGCCCAGAACTTAAATGCCACCTTGGAATGGTTGCCCAGAAGTTGGGGGCCACCCTGGAACTCAGGGGCCATTTTGCAATGGCTTCCTAGAACTTGGGGGCCATCTTGGAATGGCCACCCAGAACTTGAAGGCCACCCTGGAACTTAGGGACTATCTAAGAATGGCCATCCCAAATTCAGAAGCCATCTTGGAATGAGAGCCCCGAACTCCGGGGCCATCTGGGAATGGCCACCCAGAACTTGGATGCCATCTCGGGATGACTATTAAGTGCTTGGGTGCCATCCTAAAATGGCTGCCTACAACTAGGGCACCATGGTGGAGCCCCATGATGACGCACAGCCTTTCAGAGGGCAAAGAATCCCAGGATGACTGGGAGAAGCGAAAGACACACAAAGGGAGTCACCAGGTCTACAACTACGGGGCCGTCAGGCACAGGGAGGGTCAGAATTCTCATGCACATTCATTTCCTGATTGTCTCTTTAGGGACTCCCCAAAGAGACAGCGGCTTGGGCGGCGCGTGTGGAGCAGTAGGGGAATGACATGTTCCGGCGAGGCTAGTCTACGGAAAGCAGCACAGCAAGAGGCTGGTGACGCGGCTGAGGCCCGTTGCTGTGTGAGGAGGTAGAAGGTGCGTGGGGGGGGTCCCTTCTCCTTCTTCCTCCACGGCTGTCATGCAAAAGGCCAATCGAAGCTCTTCCTGGTGGCATGCTGATCTCTCTCGCGTCCCCAGAGCCCACACACCCTGTCCCTAGACCTTGAGAACATGTCCCCTGATCTGATGGGTGGCCCCCAGGCCGGGGGTTGGGGGAAAAGAGGCGAGTGGAGGCCTTGCGAGGAGACTTACGTGAAGGCAAAGGCTACCAGGGCCCCACTGACCACTATGAAGTCGAGAATATTCCAGAGGTCGCGGAAGTAGGCACCCTGATGCAGGACGAGCCCCAGGTCGATCATCTGTGGGGAAGAGAGGGTGCTCAGAAACCCTACCTAATCCCCATCCTGGGGTGTTGCCACCCACTCCCTAGCCTCTTGGGGAGAGGCAGGGAAGCCAGTGAGGTCGCCTCATCCTGCAGGGATGGGCGGTGGCCAGAGGACTCCCGGGAGGAGTAGGGAGCCCTGCTCCATGAGGGGCAGCCCCTCTGCCTGATGGAAGGCAGCTCTGGCTTGCTGACTCTTACATCCAAACCTTGGGGTCCTCTTTGATGCCTCTTTGTTCCAAATCCCTCACTGGCTCCATCTGCAAAGCTCACTGGCTCTGATTCCAGAACCTTCCAAGAATGTGTCCACATCTCACCTCTCCTTTGGTCACCAGCCTGATCCCGTCCCCGTCATCGTCCACGGGGACCAGTGTGATCACCTGCTCACAGGTCCTCTGCTTCCCACACATGTCAGAGGGCACCTGTGAACACCTGGGTCAAATCCCTCCTCTGCTCGGAACCCTCTATGGCTCTCACCTCACTTAAAGTCAAAGCCAAGGAGCCCTCCCTGTGACCCCCTGCACAAGGTGCTCCTCGCCTCCCTGTTCTCATCTCTCTGCCCTTTGTTTTCCCTCTTCTCACACTCTGTGAAGCCACACCAGCCTCCTTGCTGAGCCTCAAACGCACCCGGCATTTCTAATCCTCTGGCAGACTCCTCCTCTAGAGGGGGAGACAGAGTCTCACTCTGTCACCCAGGCTGGAGTGCAACGGCATGATCTTGGCTCACTGGAGCCTCCACGTCGGCTCATTACAGCCTTGGGTTCAAGCAGGTGTCCTGCCTCAGCCTCCCGAGTAGCTGGGACTACAGGCATGAGCCACCACGCCCGGCTAGTTTTTGTATTTTTAGCAGAGACAGGGTTTCACCATGTTAACCAGACTGGTCTTGAACTCCTGACCTCAAATAATCTGCCCACCTCGGCCTCCCCAAGTGTTGGGATTACAGGCACGAGTCAGTCTGCCTGGCTTAAAAAAACAACCAAAACCAAACCAAACCAAACAACCAAACCAAACCAAACCAAACCAAACCAAACCAAACCAAACCAAACCAAACCAAACCAGTACTGCATGTTCTTCCTTCTCATGCGCACTGACCTTGATCACCATCTCAAAGGTAAAGACGCCTGTAAAAACGTAGTCAAAATATCGCAGCACCTGTAGGGTTTAAAAGCAAGAGAGCAGTGGATTACTGGCCCGTTCCAGCAGAGCCCCGGTAAAACGAACGACTGGCCCCTGGGGAGCAGAGTCTGGACCGGGGTGGGGGGGATGGGGGGGTGGGGGGACGACACAGCTGCCATATTGGTTGGGCAGGGCTGCGCTGCACAAGGGCCCCTCCCATCTCCCCTAGGGTGCAGATTTGTATGTAGTGAATGAAACTGTCCAGCAGATGGGAGCAAATCCTAACAGAAATCCCTGTAGGAGGCTGGTTCGCTAACCCATGGGAAAGATGTCTTTTAAAATTCGCCCCAAGCCGTACCGAGGATTAGAGGCGGCCCCAGAAAAGTTCAGGGTTGACTGTATCCCTCTTGGTGATGGATCTGATCCCTCGGTACCCTTGCTTTCTCGGGTGTCCGGGGCGAGAAATCATTGCTATGTTGTGTGTGTGTGTGTGTGCGCGCGTGTTTTTGAGACGAAGTCTCACTCTGTCTCCCAGGCTGGAATGTAATGGTGCCCTCTCAGGTCACTGCAACCTCTGCCTCCTGGGTTCAAGTGATTCTTCTGCCTCAGCCTCCCGAGTAGCTGGGGTTACAGGAACACGGCGCCACGACTGGCTGACTTCTGCATTTTTAGTAGAAACGGGGTTCCACCATGTTGGTCTGGCTGGTCTTGAACACCTGACCTAGTGATCCGCCTGCCTCGGCCTCCCAAAGTGCTGGGATTACAGGTGTGAGCCACCACACCCAGTGCTACGTGGTTTCTTAAACACTGAGGCCAACCCCTTGCCACCACATCTCTTCCTGCCTCATGGCCAGGCCCCTGCCACGGTAGGTTCATTCTTCCCGTCCCCCTCTCCAGGCCTGATGTTTCTGCCTGGACAAGCAACGTTCTCTGGCCCAGCCCCTCTCCAGGACACACCACAGCACAAGTCTGGGGTCACCCGGGCATAAAGATGTGTGTGTTGCCCGGTGTCTGGCTGGTTGTAGGTACAGGGGGTGGACACTGGCCAGGTGTGGTGGCTCAAGCCTGTGACCCCAGCACTTTGGGAGGCCAAAATAGGCAGATCACTTGAGGTCAGGAGTTCGAGACCAGCCTGACCAACATGGCAAAACCCCATCTCTACTAAAAATATGCTTGGCATGTTGAAAATTAGCTTGGCATGGTGGCGTGTGCCTGTAATTCCAGCTACTCGGAAGACAGAGGCATGAGACTCACTTGAATCTGGGAGGTTGAGGTTGCAGTGAGCTGAGATCACACCACTGCACTTCAATCTAGGAGACACAGACTCCGTCTAAAACTAAAAAAGAAAAAAAAAAAAAGGACAGGTGTGGTGGCTCATGCTTGCAATCCCAGCACTTTGGGAGGCAGAGACGGGCGGATCACTTGAGGTCAGGAGTTCGAGACCAGCCTGACCAATAATGATGAAACTCCGTGTCTATTAAAAATGCAAACATTAGCTGGGCATGGCAGTGTGTGCCTGTAATCCCAGCTATTCGGGAGGCCCAGGCAGGAGAATCGCTTGAACCCAGGAGACAGAAGTTTGTGGTGAGCTGAGATTGTGCCATTGCCCCTCAGCCTGGGCAGCAAGAGCAAAACTCCGTCTGGGGTGGGGGTGGGGGTAACTGGATCCACCTGGAAGCAGTAAGGACTGAGCATTACTGAACATGGCCACCAGAGGGCTCTGTGAACACTCCAGGCAGGCAAGTCTTGCTTCTGCTTACAACTCTCCATGGCTCCCACCTCACTCAGGGATCAAAGCCAAATTCCTCCCCGAGGCCCTCAAGGCCCTGCACGATCTGACCAGTCATGTCCCTGACCTCACTTCCTCTCACTCTCCCCCTTGCTGACTTCCTCTTGTGGCCTGAGATGCTCCCACCTCAGGGCCTTTGCACGGGCTGTTCTGTCTCTCCGGAATGCTTTCCCCACATCCCATCTGATTCCTCTTTCTCCTCCTTTATGACTTAGCTCAAATGACATGCTCCCAGTGAGGACTTCCCTGTCTGACTGTTTAAATTCCATCACCTGGGCCGGGCGTGGTGGCTCACACCTGTAATCTCAGCACTTTGGGAGGCCCATACAGGAGGATCATGAGGTCAGGAGTTCGAGACCAGCCTGACCACCACGGTGAAACTCCATCTCTACTAAAAATACAAAAAATTAGCTGGGCATGGTGGCGCGTGCCTGTAATCCCAGCTACTCAGGAGGCTGAGGCAGGAGAATTGCTTGAATCCCGGAGGTGGAGGCTGCAGTGAGCCGAGATCGCGCCATTGCACTCCAGCCTGGGTGACAGAGCGAGACTCTGTCTCAAAAACAAACAAAGCCAAAATCCCATCTCTTGATGCTTGAGATCCCCCTTTTGAAGCCTCTTTCCCTCTGCTTGCCGCACCCCCAGTCACTTATCCCTCCCCAAACAACTATGTGTTATAGTCACTGACAATCTCATTCTCCATCTCCCCCACCCAAATGTCAGCCCCACAGGACAGGGGTGTCTGTCTGTCACCATGGCATCTCCAGCTTAGAATACAGGTCAGGCATGTAGTAGGTGATCAAGAAATGTTTGTTGAATGAATGCATGAGCAGCTGGGGCTGTGCTGAGTCCTGCAGGAGCTGGGCTCTGTGATCCGTGTGGCTGTAACATCTATTTCTGTTAGGTGTGGTGCTTGAAGAGGCACCAGAGTGCCTGGGGTCGGGGTGGGGTGACTTCCAGGAGGGAGGAGCTGGTTCAAGGGGATTGGCTTGAAGGACCTGGGTAGGCAGAGGGGATGGTGCTGGGGGGTATGTCAGGTGCACCAGGCAGTGGCATAGCCGGGTTAAAGGCCTGGTGCTTTGTGGGCTCTGGGAGTGCAGGGACTGTCTTATACCCTGTCAATCCTCCGTGGCTAGCTCAGTACCTGGCACATAGTCGTTGCTTATTAAATACTTACTAAAGGAATGAAAGAAAGGCAAGGAGAGGGAGAGTGAGGAAAGGGCAGGCCAGGGGGTCAGGTGACTCTAATTCTGGAGCACGTAATAAGGTGTACAAGAGGAAATCAAAAGACCAATAAATTCAGTTCAAGTACTCCTAATATTTAGATCTTTTTGACCTATTTCAAGTGCTTGATCTCATTCATTACAGGGAAATGTCAAGCAAGACCCCAGTGAGATCTCACTCCACACCCAGCAGAGGAGCCAAAGGAAACAGATGAGAACACCAAGTATTGACGAGGATGGGGAAGAACAGGAGTTCCCACGTGCTACTTGGTGCAAGGATCACTGCCTTTATTTTTGTTTTTTGAGACGGAGTCTCGCTCTGTTGTCCAGGCTGGAGTGCAGTTGTGCGATCTCGGCTCACTGCAACCTTTGCCTCCTGGGTTCAAGTGATTCTCCTGCCTCAGCCTCCCGAGTAGCTGGGATTACGGGCACATGCCACTACACCTAGTTATTTTTTTTGTATTTTTAGTAGAGACAGGGTTTCACCATGTTGGCCAAGCTGGTCTTGAATTCCCGACCTCAGGGGATTCACCTGCCTCAGCCCCCCAAAGTGCTGAGATTACAGGTGTGAGCTACAGTGCTCCGCCACTGTGTTTTCCTGATTGATTGATTGATTGTTTTGAGACAGGTTCTTGCTCTGTTGCCCCAGGCTGGAGTGCAGCGGCACGACTTCAGTTCACTGCAACCTCCACCTCCTGGTTTCAAATGATTCTCATGCCTCAGCCTTCCAAGTAGCTGA